TACCCTTCACAGCGGCACATACCTATATAGCCCATATATGGCAGTGCCCCCCTCCCCCCCCCGGGGTTACCACAACTCATGGCCATTTGCCGACACCGAGCTACAAAACATTCTTTCCTGATGATGCAGGCTGTGGTTACTTGTTGTCAAAGGCTAGTGGGTCAAACTACATGTAGCTTTGCAGAAATCATACACACTCGAATCATGATTGCATGCATGTGCTCACGATGTATTAAATTTGCCCCTGCTGTGTGGGGTCACTGGATTAGGATTGCGTTACACTACGTGAACGCAATTAGTTTTACAAGTTTGCTTTTTTAGGAGCTCTTATTAAACAAATACAATTCCTCAGGCTGTCTCAAACCCAGGTTAGAGAAAATATATACATATCTCTTTCATAAGTTGCTTCAAATACGTTATGCTAAATCATGTTTTCAAATTAAACCATACTAGAAGAGACACAAATTAATTGCAATGTTGCCGATGTAAGGAATTTACTTCCCCCTCCAGTTGACACAGACAGCCGCTTTGTGTCTGGTTAATCCACTTCATTACTCCTTGGACTGTGAATTGTTGGACGAGATAGTAGCTTAACCGAATGTAAAAAAAAGTTAAGCACTGAGGTATTGGGGAATTGTTAAAAATATAAATTAAAAACATGGATTTTGTCTAGGCGCGTCAAAAACATTGTAAACATTGATTTCAAGCTTCAGCAAACCAAACCTTTCTTTAAGCAGGCGAGCACGAATGCTGCATGCACATGACTTGGAAATGTAAATAAGAATTCAAGGTAACAATAAATAAGGGTTAATTGTTGATAGCACAGACAATTTTGGCCTTCAGCATGGAGCACTTAAGCTAAAGAACATTTTTAAATAAGTCTTATCACCAAATTAAAAGTTACTTCCTACCGTTCTTTTGAGTCACTCGATCGCCGTCGATGTCGATTCCAGCCGGAACTTCCCATCAGTTCAAATATGTTTACAGTGTTAGATCTTTACTTTCTTTCTACTATCATTCATTCAAATAAAGAAACGATTCGGAATAATAATATTCCAGCAACGCGCGTCCACAAACAAGAAAACCGGAAACACTTCCGGGAAGTATATCGGTACCAGTTCACTCTCACCACTCTCTCTCCTCGGTCATAAAAACGTTGCTAACGGAGACTCACATTTTGTTTGAAAATTAATTTTTTTTTTGGAAATGACAACATAAAACCTGGTGGTTAACGTTCAGCTGCTTTTCTGCTTAAGGGAAATATCTTTAACTGCTAAGTTACTTGATGAAAGCACTCGCTAAATTCCCCTCATTTTTAAACATTTGTTAAAATTTATAACTATCAAGCGCACCCGAGGGATTTGTTCTTGCATGGGTGTCTGAAATAAAATTCCATTTCCTTGCTTAGGAAATGGAAATGTTATGGAGATAAGGTAAGGTACTCGTTGCTAGCTCCACTCCTCGCCCTATTTCATCCTACCAACCTCTCTGTCACGTATTCCACATCACCCTCCATGTCCTCTAGATCTCTGATCAAGTCAACTTCATCAAGATATTAGGGACCTTAAGCACCGACGACGAATGGGACGACGACGACGAATAAAACTGTGGTAGGACTAGGTCGAGGACGTCGTTCACGGCGTGAAAACCAAGTGCGAGTACATGTAAACAGAACTGAGATCTTGTAACCATCGACCTAAAACCATCTAAAAATTTTGCCATGTCTTCCTTTCACGAGTTCCAAGACCTGTTTCTCTTGAGCTACGAAAACGGTACTATCGACGACAACAAATTCTCAGTCCTACATGAGGATTTGACGTCGAAAAATCCCGATTTCTCATATCAGGTTTTCATTCGAAGAGATGAGTGATGCCGAATTTTCGGCCTGATATTATCTAAAACGACCTTCACGGTATAAAATTCTATCCTAAAAACATAAGCGAAAGCCTACATGTAGNGTTTTCATTCGAAGAGATGAATGATGCCGAATTTTCGGCCTGATATTATCTAAAACGACCTTCACGGTATAAAATTCTATCCTAAAAACATAAGCGAAAGCCTACATGTAGATAGGAACCAGAAGAAAATGAAACAGAGAGTCATTTCAGTTTCAATTTTTGAATTCATTTAATTTTCTACTTTTGCTGACAGGGAAATTCAACAACGGACAAATCGACAAACCCAAAATAATCTTATCACCAACGATTTCTACACCAAACTCGCCGTAAAATCTAGTTAATACAAAGCTAAGAGGTTAAATAAATAACAAACTTTCATTTCAATAGTTTAATTTACATTTTCTGCCTCAGAAACACGGCGTAAATAGATTAATACTCACGTTCGTTCAGGACGGCAAACCTGACGTTTTGACATCCTAAACTTCACGTGGACGACGAGTCTAGCATTCGCAGTAGCGCGGTAAGGGGAAATTTTACTTCCGGTCGTCGTCCCTATTTAGGTCCCTATTTTCAAGTCAACTGCAAAACAGCCACATTTCTCATCACCTGCACGAGGCTGATGAAATTAACATGACCATAATTAGCCAATCAAAAGTAGTTTGTAGAGCCTTATCTTGCATATATTTTATGAAGGGAAATGCTGATTTCTAACGAGCAGTGTTGTGCACGTATAATACGTAATATGTGCAGTGATCGAGGTTAGGGCCGGAAACATGGCTACCTAATGACTCCGTCTCATAACACCACCCTCTGACCCTCATACTCCCACCCCCGGGCATCTGTCATATTCTTCAAAGTGAGGCTAGCTTATTTGTACAAATGTCCTCCGCTGAGCTTCGGGGAGACTTCAACTACCCGACCCATCGCATGGGACAAGGTCAAAGCTTTATTTTCCTGATCGTATGTTCCTGATTGACGATGGAAGCAACTGTTCACAAATAAATGAATCTTAATAACTGTATCAATTGTCAAGGTTTTCATAAGCAGTGCACCTCGGAAAGTAACAAAACTTAACAATATGTAAACTGGCATTCTATTTTGTCGGGGACTTTATGCCCATATTTCTATGCTTGAATACCAGTGACAAGCTATAAGACAGCTTTGTTATCATTGTAATTATTCTGCAATCATTTTTTTAATTTTTGATTAAACGGATTGGATTAAATGATTAGATTGGATTCTGCGATCGCACTTTCAAGTGCAATCAATACTCTAATTGACTAATAATTACACCAGCGGTTTTGCCCTGCAAATCTGTCAAGGCTACTTTCCACCATCCTTGGTGCGCCCAAAGAAGTAACATTGCAAATTTTTGCACATCTGGGGGTGAGAGTTGGGCTTGGGTTCGCTTGAAAAGTGTAGGCCTCCAACGTTAAATACGCGATATCGGGAAATTTGGAAATGAGCAACAAAATATTTACGTATTTCAAAAACTTAAATATATAATTGAGTTTGGCACTGCCCCATCCCCCGGCCGGGCGGATCTGTAAAAATAAATGCCCGACCTTCGGGCAGAAAAAATTTTCAAATGCCCGACAAATGACCATGTGGATGAAGAGGCTTCGGATTGACTGAGCACTTCGCCGTTCTCTCTGCTCTTTTTTTCCTTTTTTTTTCTTTTTTTTTGCTGTTTTTTGTTGCTTTAATAACAACATGTGTAAAACTCCACTCATACGTGCAGAGTTTTTCCATCACACCAATTGTGACATTTCGGCGTAGGATCACCAGCACTTTCAAGCCCCCACACCATACACGTTATGCAACAATTGGAAAACGCATCCTTTTAACTTGCTTTTTATTTCATTTCGAAAGCATTCACATAAATTGTGCTTGAGGCGGTCTAACCCTGTCGATTCCCTATCATGTCGAGCTTGGTAGTTCTTCGAGTGCTTTCATTTCGCAGTTACATTAATAAAATGAAAGGTTTCATTTACCTGTAAAATGTAGCAAAGGGAAAACTTTTCATCCAAGTAAATTCCAAAGAAAGTCACGTTGGTAATCTCAGGAAATTCAACTGACTCCATATGAGAGAACTAATGGAAGTTTCGTGACGGATACCAAACCTCTACTGCGCAAACAAAGCAAACTGCATCTTAACAGAAAATGCAATTTCTTGGATATGTTATCATGAGTCTCAAAGAACTGATTCCTACAAATCTGTATCCAAACACTAGTTAATTTTTTACAGAAGGTCGGCTATTACAGGTAGCTCACAGGCGATTAACAAATCATAAAGATCTCCAACAGTTACGCGAAAGCGCCTTGTAACATGACCTAGCATCTCATCAGCTGGGTTCCGTGTGCGAATGTCAAGGAAATGAATTTCGTCTTGAGTTAGGCCCAGTTTCTCTGCAACCTGCTTCCACTCGTCTCTGCCTATACGAAACACGATTAAAGTGAATAAATCAACCAATTTACTTCAGGAAGACTGTTGAGAGTTGAAATTTTCGAATCCCTAACCCAAATGCCAAATCAATAATACTAAATAAAGCGTTTCACCACTAAAGCGACAGTTTTATTCTCTTTCAATGATTAAGCCGTCGAAACATATGGCGAAGTTATTCTCTCAATGTGAAAAGAGCGTGATTAAGACTTTTGAAATTGAAAAAAGGCAATCCTTATAACCTTACCACTCAAAGAAATGGTTATCGCTCTTCTCTGTTGAAAAGGAATATTTCGAACAGCAAGAGTTTCAGATAACAATGGACCTGGAAAAGAATAAGATGTAAGTATTTTACCAAATACGTAGCGTCACCACAACTGAGTGGCTTGGAAAATGCGACGAAAGCGCTTTGAAAAGTACGAAGTAAAAATATAAACCGCACACGTTGATTCGTTTTTTTGCTAGTAATCGGTCTTACAGATAACGTCACAGCGCGGTGTGACGTGATTCAACCTTCCCAATAATTTCGACCACTTCATCGGACCATTCCCATCCCCCCACCCTCCTCCTTTCTTTCCTGTCTAGTTCTATCCTTCCTTGCAATTCAGTTTTTATTCTGTAATTATTATCCTGAGTCAAGATTGTTCTTTAGCATGTTACATATAATGACAAGGTCTCTAAATCTTGTTAAATAAGATCAGGTTTCTCCTTCTGTTACGTTGTTCAAACAATTGCTCTGTCCTTCCTTGAAAATTGTAAACCATCTAATTGTTCGAGGACCATGTTGGAAAGCGACTGCTTTCCTTTCATGTTCAGTATGCATCCTTTCTAAAGCGGAGACAAGGCGCAATTTTCTGATCTAATATGAACTTAATATGTAAAGAAACGTGTCACATTGCAATATTTCAGTAGAGTTAAAGAAATTATCTTTCCCTCCCCTAAAAGACAGGAAACAAAAGCAAAACGACACCAAAGAATGATTCACACTTTGGGCAAAAATATAAAAGCACAATCATAAACATAGGTCCAAGCCCAAACTCAAACCCAAGGTCATACGTAAGTAGATAAGCATGCACATAAACATTCAGAAAACAAAACCTATCAGAGAGGAACACCCAAAATAACGGTCAATCGCCATCAATTGTCAATGGTCGTCATCATCACCATCACCATCACCACCACCACCACCACCACCACCACCATCGTCATCGTCATCGTCATCGTCATCGTCATCATCATCACCATCATCATCACCAACAATGCCAGTGTCACACCTACCAGTGGTTCCTGCAGGTGTAATCTGTCTCAAGTGTTTCACCACATCTAGTCTGTTTGAATTGTTTGCATTCCTTGCCAGGCAACGGACCCACTTCCTGGTCTCAGGCTCTGGATGTTTCAGTGACGTGTATTCCAGCTGGAGATTCTGTAGTAGTGTATCTACTACATCTTCGGGATTGCACAATTGTGCCTGAAGAGTTGTAAGAACTTCCCGAGGTAATGCAAGGGATGTGTCGCAATGGCCTGTAGATTTAAAATGCACAAAAAGAAAACATTTAGAGAATCATCTGGTGAAAGTGACAGAGACGTTTAAAAAAGGTAGCTCTAAACTTAAAGAAAATTTTTCTATAAGGCAAAGGAATGAAAAACATTTTAGGAGACCAAAGACATGGAATCTCTAGAGAGGTACAAACAAGAAATAAGAGAGAATCTTACCATGTAAAAAAGGAAGAAGCCCCCCGGCACTTTCATCGGCTATTCCAGCTTCCAATTGGTTAACCGGCTGAAGGGATCCTAATACGTTACAAGGCATCGCAGGTGATCTTCCTGGCAACTCATCTAGTTTAGATTTAAACACATGTACATAGCAAAAACCTTTTAGAGAAGGGTCTAAGCTGTATGTTGTTCGCAGGGATGGTATACAGGGGTAGATCATATCATATAAAAAATTGAAAACTAATTTTATTACAGACAGAAGTAAACCGAATGAAAGAAAGGGAGCAGACCTTGCACATAAGTGAGAAGTCTTCCATCATGTTCATCAGACAATTCCTGCTTTTGATAAATAAAGAGAGAATGACTTTAGTTTATAAGTTTGCTTTCGAAATTTAATGTCTTTCAAGATCCCTATCCTATCCCTTTGCGAAGTGTGAAATAAAAAGCGATCAAGAATGGTGGTCATCCAACTCCTTTTTTGATCATAATCCGGTTATATTCAATTTAAGAAGGTTTCAAGGGGATGCTGTTGCTATGGTCATAAGGATGTTCAACGTTGATTGAAAGTTCTTTGATGCCATTTGAAAAGCCACATTCAACATTAAATGGGCATCGTTGACTCTGCTGAAGAGAATTAAAGGATTAAGTTTATAGCTCTTTTCTGAGAAGTCGTTAAGGTATTTGCGTAGCTATAAACACTCTGTCCCCTAATCCGGTAAAATACGTATATCCAATATAACTCCTTAGAACCTTTTAACTTAATGCACAACGTTAACACCCCTGCTCACCTTGTCATGCTCAGATAGAAACCAAGGCGCAAAGTGTGCGATCGAAACTCGGTTATCTTGGGCAGTGGCGGATCTGCTGCAGAAGACCTGTATATCACCAGTGGCTAGTTTAGAATCTCGAAAAAAGTGAAGACATTCTTCTTGCTTGCAGCCTTCTGCGTGGTGATTTCGGCAGTAGCTGACTTCACGTCCTGGACAACAAACTGGGCATAAGAAATTCAGCTCACATACAACGTTCCTCACCCAAAAGAACTTGTTTTGCATGCATTTAATCATTGAAGCAAGCTGGGTACGAACAGCACAAGCCAAGTTCCCATCAGAAGTGTCCAAAGTTTCATTACTGGTAAGGATAAGAAGCTCGATCGACAAAGAGTGACAAAGTAGGACCACAGAGCGGCCTTCTCCTTCAAGGATGTAAAATCTCGCAAACCCGTTGAAGAGTTGTGGAGGTTCTTGCCGCGGAAATCTGTCAATACACCATTGAAAGAACTCCAGAACAAGCCGGGGAAAGAAGCCTGCAGGAACTTGGCCAGTTTCAAATTTAAGAAAAAGAGATGGAATTTGTGCGGATGCAACCAAATCACTGATCGCGTTTGGTGGATGTGACTTCAACATAGATGGCACCAGATACTGCTTCCTGCTCGAACCATCTATATGCAAGGGCAAGGGGCAGAGTAAGCTGAATTTTTCCATTATTGCAATAAGACATTCGTACGTTTCTGTCTGTGGAATCAGAGAACTCCAAACATATTTTAACAGCTTTTCCTCTAGGATTCCTTCTCTCTCAAGTTTACACCATAGATCAACGTATGGCTTCTCTTTCCAATGATAGGNCGGGTACTTCCTCTGCTGGTGCAACAGGCTCCTGGATTATGTCGGTAGGTGTGGAATCTCTAAATGATGGCTCACTTGGCTCTGGACCTGTTGATGACTCGTGTAGTTGTGTTTCCATCAGCATATCAGTTATCTCAAATTCTCCTGAACCAGCACAAGCTCTTGTTTCTTCCTCAACTGCCATCAATTTTTCAGCAACCAACCGTGCTGTGTTATGTTCAAAAGAAATGGCCTCTGCATCAGGTGTTGACTCTTCATCCTTCTTTCCTGTTATCCAAATGTCACTGGTGACTTTGAAATGATATCGGTCCACATCAATGCCGACAGTGCTATCTTCTTCTGGGTTGAAGATTGTTCCCTTCAATGACTTCTTTAGGCTGGTTTTCCCTGACCGGTCTTGTCCAATCAACATCAATGGCACCCTCTTGACACACGTTTTTCCTTCAGCCAGGGCATTATTATAAGCTTCGAAAGCTAAAGGACCCCGCGCAAGAATCTCTGGAGGAACTGTAAACACAACAAGAATGAAATCAACAAAACCATCCAATGTTCTGGGAAACCACACGATAGCCTTTGAACGGAAAATATGTTTCATAACCGATTGCACCCATCGTCAGTTGCTTATGATAAATAACATTTTAATATGACGGTTACGATGTCTTGACACAGTTTTTTCTGGACCATACATCCCATTTTCAAATCAGCTTTTTAACAATCTTCCCCTTATTGGATCGAAGTCAAAATTACACCAGTTACTGGAAGAGATCGACGGACTACTGTTCTGTGTTACTCTCGATAAATAAAGTTGATTATTATTATTATTATTGTCGTTGTTATTATTATTATCATTATTATTATTATTATTATTATTATTGTTATTGTTATTAGGGCGAAGGGAGAAAGCTATGCGACTACCATGTCGTGGATCAGGGCAAGAGTGTCTTTTGCGCCGCTGAGATGAGCAANGGACCCCTCATTTTTATTTCAAAATTTAAGTTCCTATAATATAAACAATTAATAGGCAAAGTTTCACAAAAATCTCAGTGCAGGTTCTATTTCAGGGGAATGACCTTAATAGGGGTTTGACTGCATGAAACAAGGGAAATTACCAGATTGTACCAAGGGACCCCATTGGCTATTTCTTGGGCAAACTTAGTGAAAGCAAACAAGCAGCAGTGTTTTAAACCCGTTGAAACACATGCGAGTGTTTTTGAACAGCTTCAAAAACGTTTGTGGTACATCTACTTGGGTTTATTATTATTTCTCTGGCGAAAATCGGCTGCAAAATTTAGCCGTGTCTTTATCAAATTTAATTAAACATTTATTTCTGTTGTGTGCGTGTTTTCTTTATGAATTATTAATGATTTTTGATGATAACCAAAACCATAGCTTTTACTTATTGTGCTTGGCTGTAAAATTCTTAGGACTTATAATTTGGCTCTTTGAGATCAACCAGTAGGATGGAAAGCCGAGGTTAAAAAGTGTCTAAATTCATTTTTCATTTCAAATATATTGTGATTAGAATGGTTCTTTATTATCTGAAACAATCAAGGTTCGATAATTAAAATGAATTGGGAATACGCATTGCAACATTGAGGACGAAAGCCTCAGGGATACAGAAGAACGAAGACAGTTTTGGAGGCCTAGAGGACACAAGCAAGCTAACCCAACATATTGGTTCCATTAATATTAAGAAGCTTAAGCAAACCACGCAGGCAAAGGGAACAAAAACGTCGCGAAGCAAAGAGTTGAATCAAGAAATGCCGCAATGCATATGGCTCTACACGTTGACAAGGGAACCCGTGACGGTGTTTGGATATCTGATCTTAATTAGCATACATCTTTATGATTTTATTTCTCCGCTTTTTCTTTAGTTATAGTTTCGATTGAGAAGATATATCAAACACTTAAGACAGTATTTGCCCACGTTTCCAAACACCTCGTAGTTCGTCAAAAATACTCCGCTACGCGTTTTATTTTCATCTCTCTTCTCGGTATTTGTAGCCTGCGAACGCAGACGTATTTCCGGCTGTCGCTTGTCTCCGCCGAAAATAACGTCTGCGAACCAGAGCCAGGAAACGATTTCTGTGACGTAGGAATTTTAAGCCAATCACAGTTTAGCTCAAGTAGCCCTAGAACTACTGCGCGAGATATTCCCTGCGAGGAGCACTCGCGTGTCATTCTATCATGGAATCTGATCGGCCAAGGAGAAAGAACAGTCATTACGTCACAGAAATCGTTTCCTGGTTCGGGTTCGCAGACGTTATTTTCGGCGGAGACAAGCGAGAACCGGAAATACGTCTGCGTTCGCAGGCTACGGTGTTTGGAAATGTAGTCAATTACGGACTTTCGTGTCTATATATTTAAAAGGAGAATGTGAGCCATGCGTATTACAGTTTCAAATGAAAAGCCCTCTATACATACATGTACTGAGCTAGGCCGGCGGTCCTTCAAAAGAGAAGATACAGCAAATAGATCAAGATAACTGTTTATAGTAAACTATTACCAGGCGTTGCCCTCGCGAATCGGTGTAAGTTTGCTAACTTTGAAATATCTTGCTTTTTTATTTATACATGTATGCTCTTTTACAAAATTATTACCGAGTCTCTGGATTTTTCCTCTGCTACGACACTTCGCCATGAACATTCCTTTGATAAAATGATGCTAAATCCTGGCTTAGCAGTGTATACTGTTCGATTGGAGGACCGCTTATGAACAAAGCGAAATCCCTTGGGTATCTTGCTCTGTGGTAGACGTAGTCCAAAAGCATCATCTTTGGTCAAAGTCAGTCCAGAAAGATATTGTGACAAAACGCGTCTAACTTCTTCTGTAGGTACATAGTCAAAAGCTTCGGCACGTTCTAGACAAACAGTACAATACTCACTCTTTAGAACATGACGCGTAACAATTTTCGTACAAGAAATAATTAATTCTGCATTTTTTAGCCAACTCTCCTAAAATTGCACGTATTATGTTTAAAAGACTGTTATGGAACAATGATATGACAAACTTCAAGTAAATTGATGTTTGTCTCGATAGGCAAGATCACATTTTCTTGAGCGCCTAAAAGGCAAATACAGACAGCATCTTCAATGCGCACGTTGCGCATGCAACCTGCCCGGGGGCCCGTTTCTCGAAGGTAACGAAAAGTTTTCACACCCGAAAAGCCGTCGCAAAATCTCAAACCTTATGACTTCAGAGCTGTTCTATGCACATATTCTCAATAGGAACAGAGGTTCCCTTCATGCAGGAAGTTTCGGGCGTATACATTTCTTTATCTTTAAATAACCATCAACTAAAAATGGGGGCGGGCCCGAAAAGTTTCCGGGGCTTTCGATAAACGGGCCCCTGGTAACTAATATTCCTTTTCTACACTTACTTATCATAGTGCCTTCAATTCAAATAAAAAATGTTGATAGCAATTCCGCTGTCATATACAAAAGCTTTCAGACAGAAAAACTCACTTGGTAGATCATGTTAAGAAGGGATGTAAGTAACTTTTATTCCCACCACTCCCCTTTCTAAAATAATTAACGACGTGTCAAGATAATTATTGGTCTTATTGGAAATCGTACTGTCAAGCAAGAGATGAAATGTTCTCTCGAATGTTCTGTTAGGCTCGATTACCGGTCGCTGTTCGGTTCTATTCACACACTCCCATCTTATGAGGCTGATTAAGTGTATAGACTATCACTACTAATTCGCTGCATTAGTTACCTACAATAATTACATACTCACTGAAGTAATTACTCCAACACCCCACCTGTTTTTCCGCGAACGGTAAGTCTGCAATCAAATTCGCATCCGGGAAATAAAATATCGGCCTGTAAATATCTTCTTGATGCAAGAATTAACCATCCACGACATCTTGAACGGGTTGATTCATCTTCAAAGTGAATCTCATCCAGGATGTTTTTGACGTCACTAGACGGGATTGGGATTTCCTCCAACTTTTTCCTGGTATCCTCCTTTGCTACCCACACCTGTTGAATTAGGGCACAACATTACTCACCAAATTTAACCGTCTGCTCAGTATGACACAACTTTGAAGGCGACCTTGTTTATCGAACAAAAACAACAGTGCAGGCAAATCGAGTAAATGAAAGAGTTACGGTTAAAAAAAATAAGTTTTCATTAAGTATTTACACTACGAATTTACCCAAATTTAACTTACCTTGCACCGTATTTGATAGTAACCTGGAGTTAGAAATGTTAAGTCATATCTAGTGGCATATTCGGTATATTCCTCAGGAATTTTTTTGAGATAATTTTTGCTGAAGATATCTTCCAAGAAATCCACTCCTTCATTAAAAGCAACTTTCCAATAATTTCCTTCTGCTGATGATCGGAACTTTCCGGTTGCGTCGTCGATATTCCACACTCCCTCAGCAGCTTCGTCTGTGAAAGATGAACAGAACGCGATTAACGCAACTCTGGTTTTGTGTTTAAGACAGTAATGACCATATTTTCTGAGTAGGAATTAAACGCTTTCTGTGCTAAGATTTACACAATGTAAAAACAAGTTCGGTCTTTTGTACTAAAGTCCCTTCACCTCAGTCAACTTGTTCATTGCAGTTCTTAGAAATCTATTCATTTCTTTGAGTGTATGTGTGTCACCTGAGTATAACTCAGAACCTATTATTGGAATGTTACCTTCATTAGGTCCTCGGATTATGGCTCTCCCGAAATGACACCACATGTCAGCGTCCAAAATATTTTTTGCATCCCTTTCACGTTTGAACATGTCCAGCGATTCCAAAACTGCACGCGAGAGTTGTTCCAGATAGCTTGGCTCACTGTCTGAGATAACAGAATCCTAAAGAATACCAAATTTCTGTGATTTGATTATTGTTAATTTGACAATTAACGGTTAGAGCATCACTTTCCACAGCCGCATTAGTAAAATGTTAGCTTTGCTATTGAACGAACTTTCCATTAAATGAACTTAATTGAACGCAATTGGAACTTAATCGAGCGATTGGGTTTGATTGAGTTCGGCAATCAAACACAACACAATTGAACTCTTACAAAATTGGTCGAAGTTTAAATACATTCAATTAAATAGGGAGTTATTTACGGAAAACGTGTGCGTGTTTTTCTGAATGTCTCCTTCCTCTAGCTTGTCATACTCCGTTATCCAAGACCAGATTGTTCCCTACAAATAGACCATTTCACAGTTGTCTGCTCAGTGACCTGGCCTTGGATGGCAGCGAGGCTGAAGTTGACCTTGTTTTGATACAGACCTCACTGCTTTTGTCATGTAAATGCACCTAGTTAGCATCAGAACAACTTGTTTTACATGACAAAAGCAGTGAGGTGTGTATCAAAACAAGGGCAACTCCAGCCTCGCTGCCATCCAAAGGCCAGGTCACTGAGCAGACAACTGTAAAATAGTCTATTGGCGTCAACAACAACAACAAAAAGTTATCCTTTTGAATCAGCTTAAAGTTTGCCACAAAGACTTTGTGGGAAGAAACAGCAGTAATGAAAAATGTTACAGTCAAATTACTGATTGACGTTTTATTGTTCATTTCACTTGATTCTATGTTGTTCTTGCATGCTGAGAGAGACTTTTCAGAATCTTAATGAGACGAACGCAGTCGAACTCTCGTATAAAGTTTTCGATTAGATTTTTGTCGATTGCCGAACTCAATCGAACCCAATCGTCCGATTAATAAGTTTGATTACCGACACACAGTGACCTAACATATCATCTATTACAAACTACTTCTCTCTGTAATTCACCTTTGCATTGCTTTCCACGGTTTCAGCCCAAAACCAATTCAATCAATTTAAAATTCAATCACGGGATAATTTACTTCAAAATCATAGATTAGCACATTTATTATTTCATTATTTTAATATGTCATATTCTTGATTGCTGACCTGCGGTTCAAATTCCTCGGTCGGTTTCAGCCTGTATTGCGTCTGCGACCCTGGTAATACCACGCGATCTTCTTCTTGCACTTTCTCCAGCTTAAGTCTGTAGTTCTCGGGAAGATTGCAGTCATCAATGAAGCAATAAACTTTGACGTTGTTAAACTCGTCTTCTACACGGCGAAGTCTTGCATAAGCCTGCAATTAGATACTTATGTCAGGGTCTTATCGATCCTGAAGGCCGGATAAGGAAATGAAACCTGGGATAGGTTTCATATTTAGGTGTAATAGGTTTCATAACTAGTGTAATGTAGCAAGCTAGACTAATTTACACAATAATAAAGTTACGATGATGATGATTATGGTTTGGTCAAACCGCGTTGTGCAATCCTGCTTGAATTATTAATCTCATCTTTACTAAAACTCTCTTTCCAACCATCCTCCTGTTCTTACATGTTTAGCTCAATATATGAGAATGTACGAATCTGCAAACTTGCCACTCAGTAACGTCACCAACGTTACCCCCTCCGGGGAAAAGGATTATGGGTGAACTAAAACCCTGGTGATTGCGCTTAGCGCAAACTGAAATGAAACACACAAAAGAAATTTCTCCAAACCAAGTGGAGGGAGAAGCCAAGGTGATAGCACGATGTGTAATTGCATTTGATAATACTGCTTGCAACAATAATTCAAAGTCAACCAAAGAGCAGGTATCGCTTCGACGAGTTATGTTTTTAAGCTGCAACATTTATGCGTCAACTGGGCATTTCGTTATCAGTTTTGCGGTCCCTGGTCAAATTTTATTTATAGAAAAGCAAGCAAAATGTTCAGAAGTTAATGGATAACGATTAAATAGCATGATGAAACCACAATCACTACTAAGAGGACAATGGATTTTGCATATCACTCAAACTTGTCGGGACTGAAGTTGTGATATCTGTAAAACTGAGGTGTCAAAAAATAACTTTTTTAGATCTACCCACCACTTTCATTGCAACGATTACTTTTACATGTTCCCTTTGTTCTTCTGTTCCACTGATGATATGCACTTCCCCATGTTTACGGGTTACTTCTGCTCCCGTCTGCTTGCTTATCTCACGGAGATAAGCTCCACCTTTTCCAATTATTATACCCTTGTATCCATCTGGAATCTCTACAGGTTCCCAGATCCCTCTTTTTATCTCCTCCTGAAGAGAAACAGTGCACAGCCAACAATGGAGGAGGAGGAGGAGGAGNTCAGTATTCTCGAAAGTATTGCTCGCGGTCTTTATCCAATAAGGAACCATTATATATTTCCATGCAAAAGCGTGACGTCACATAACACGATTCGTGTCAACTCTTCGTAGACGTTCCCTCCCTCCCGTTTTCCCTCGGGGGGTGGGTACGGCTACACGTAGGCTATGCGTTCCAGAGTTTAGCCGAGGCTACAGAAAATGATCTCACCATATCTGGTGAGTTTGTAACCAACGTCAACCAAACGATGGCCATTGATTGATCTGAAATTGCGTCTGGGCACATATTTTGTTATAAGATCGCAGAGGTATGGTGGTGCTAAGCCGTTCAAGCATTTAAATGTCAGTAAAAGAATCTTAAAACCTATGCCCTCTTCAATAGGTAACCAGTGAAGTTAACTGAGTACTGGTGTTATATGATCACATTTACGCATATGATCAAATTATGGGCGAACTAAAACTTTGCGGAAACTGAAATAAAATACACAGAAGAAATTTTGGCGAGGACAAGTGGAGGGAGAGGCCCAGGTGATAGCACGATGTGTAATTGCATTTGATTATGATACTTACAGCAATACTTGAAAGTCAGACAAAGAGCAGACATCGCTTCGTCGAGTTATGTTTTCAAGCTACAATACTTGTGCGTCAACTGCGTATTTTTTTTTATCAGTTTTGCGGTCCCTGGTCAATTTGATTTATAGAAAAGCGAAAAAATGCTCAGGACTCAATGGATAACGATCAAATAGCATGATGAACCACGATCACTTATTTGAGGACAATGGATTTTGCATGTCACTCAAACTTGCCGTATTAAACTGAGATGTCACAAAAAAATTGTTTTAGATCTACCCACCACTTTCATTGCAATGATTACTTTTACATGTTCCCTTTGTTCTTCTGTTCCACTGATGATATGTACTTCCCCATGTTTACGAGTTACTTCTGCTCCTGTCTGCTTGCTTATCTCACGGAGATTAGCTCCACCTTTTCCAATTATGATACCCTTGTATCCATCTGGAATATCTACGGGTTCCCAGATCCCTCTTTTTTTCTCCTCCTGAAGAGAAACATTTCACAGTCAACAATACAATGTGCCTTAAACATATAATCCATGGTCAGTCTGTGAAGTAAAGAGGAGGAGGAGGAGGAAGACGAGGAGGAGGAGGAGAAGGAGGAGGAGGAGGAGAAGGAGGAGAAGGAGGAGAAGGAGAAGGAGGAGAAGGAGGAGGAGGAGAAGGAGGAGGAGGAGAAGGAGAAGGAGGAGGAGAAGGAGGAGGAGGAGAAGGAGGAGGAGGATTCTTCTTGCACTCCCAATAGCGCTGTCTACCTCCATTAATCTTTCAGCGACCAACCGTGCTGCGTTATTCTCAAAAGAAATGGCCTCTGCATCAGACGTTGACTCTTCATCTTTTTTTCCTGCCAACCAAATCTCTCTCATGATTTTGAAATGATATCGATCCACATCAATGCCGACAGTGCTATCTTCTTCTGGATTGAAAACTATCCCTTTCAATGACTTCTTCAAGCTGGTTTTCCCTGATCGGTCTTGTCCAATCAACATCAAGGGCACCCTCTTGACACACGTTTTTCCTTCAGCCAGGGCATTATTATAAACTTCCAAAGCTAAAGGACCCCGCGCAAGAATCTCTGAAGGAGCTGTACAAAAACATAAATTAATTATTAGCTGGTGAGAAAAAGCATTCATCCGAGGAAAGAAAATGATAATTTTTTAAATTAACCTACATCGGTCCCTTCCCCAGTACGGGGCCTTGTGTTTTTCTATATGGGCTGTAATGCCTGCCCTGTTGGTGAAACTGGAAGATACTTTGAAACACGTGGTTGTGAACATCTTTCTTCGGACAAAACCTCGCATATCTCTAAATACCTTAGCAGTTTTGAAATATGTCATGTTCTTTCCTCGGATGAGTGTTCTTATGGAGTCTAGTTCCAGAAACTCTGATGTTCTGTTTCATCATCTGGCAGATCAACCAAAAAGATTTTACCAGACGAGTATCTGAGACAATGCTACGACCTTCCGCGTTTTACCGTTGCAAAACGTTTTCCGAAATCACAGCGTGCGTAGCATCTTATAATTGGGTTATAATATAGCTTAAACACCAAGTAAGTTAAGCGTTCAGTTGAAAGTTGAAAAAACTCTTCTTATTTCACCTTTTAGTCTGTTTCTTTGCATCTCACGAACAACAAAGCCTTGAACTTCCTTTACAAACTGAAGAAACTGAGGCAGTTTCTGAATTATAATCTTTGGTTCCCATTGCCCGCTACTGAGCAGTTTGTCCCACTCATCACAATGTAAATGAAGGTCAGTCTGTAATAAAAAGAGGAGAAAATATAAATGTAAGGTGATGAACGGTATTTGGGTACAAGCATAACGAACGTATTTTACATCAACCGAAAACAATGTCATTTGATGGTGATTTTGATAGACGTGTGAAAGGTAAGTATTTTGATCAGTCTTGTGATGTTAATGCAAATTCACAGTTACTATCGGCACTAGGCAACTGTACATGTAAATCTCATGTTGACCTGTATATAACACCCCACATCGCGCCATGCCCGGTTCCTTGGCGAGCAAACTCGGTTAAAATAAATGGAAATGGTTTAACCTGAGTCATAGCTTTTACTAATTCCGCTAGACTTCAAGTTTTCAAACTTAAAACTACACCTTGATTGCAACATTTTTAGGATTGGTAATTTAACCGGTTGCCTTGAACTAACAGTATGTGTCGAAGTTAAAAATCGTCTAACTTCAGTTTTCATTTTACGTTATATGTTATGATAACAATGGTTCGCTATTATCTAAAAATATCAAGGGAAGAAAATTAAAATAAATTGAGAAAACGCTTTGCAACACCGCCGGAGAACAACATCATCCGTGCGTACCGTTCCCTCGACTGGATCCTCAGGGATCCAGGAGAAGGAGATATCCAAAGCAGTCGCCAAGCACGCCGGACGAACTCGGGGAAAGAAAAGAAACACGTGTCCTCGAGGAAGATTAGGTCGATTAACAATAACATGGAAGCAAACCAGGACGGCAAAGCAAATGTATATTGAGCGCTCCCAATGCATATGGTTCTGTACGTTGACGAGACAACAAAATTCTGCACTTGTGTTTTTTTAAAAAGGGGCAGAACGGGAGCCATGCTTACTTCGACTAATTTTTCATATTTTCTGATTTGGAATTTAAGGCTGTCTTTACATACAGAGCTTAACCGGCAGACCTAGAACTAGTAGATACACTGAAGAGATCGATATAATTGTAAAGATGTAATGTCAATTCATATTTTACTCAGTGTTGTTCTCGCTGGCGCAGTCATCATTACTAAGTTCGCTAACTTCGTTACATTTTGTCGCCGGTGTTTGAGCCTTTATTCCAAATTATTACCGATTCTCTGGATCTTTCCTCTGCTACGACACTACGCCATGAACATTCCTTTGATAAAATGATACTGAATCCTGGCTTAGTAGTGTACACTGTTCGTTTGGAGAACCGCTTGTGGATCAAGTGAAATCCCTTAGGTATCTCGTTTTCCGGTAGACGTAGTCCCAAAGGATCATCTTTGGTCAAGGTCAGTCCAGATAGATATTGTGACAATGTTCGTCTCACTTCTTCTTTAGGAACATAGTCAATAGCCTCGGCACTTTCTAAACAAACAGTACAGTGATTATTCTTTAGAACCTAACTTGTAGAATTTTTCTTCCAAAATAACAATTTTAATTATTGTTAAAATGAGGATTAAAAATTGAAGACTTTTACGTCCTCCGTTTTTTAGCAAAAATCGCAAAAAAATGTATTACGTTTTACAAAAGACAGTGACAAACATGAACTTCAATAGAATTGATAGATGATTGATATAGAAGCAATCTTGCTAAAACTTCATCTTTGCTGAAAAAAAAAATTAAAAAAGATGGAAAAAAATCTGCCTGTAGTCACACCGGTACCATTGTTTATGCTCTTCCAACCGTTCGCCTGGCAAACGGTTTTTGCTGATTGGTTGCTTTAAGCCACGTGACGTCATCATCGAGAAAAAACAAAATGTGTTAAATTGGGATGACAGGCCTACGCGGACTCCTACGGCTCGTGAAATTTCTACATTTCCCATTCTCTTGTAAATTGCAGCCTCTCGACCTTTTATTTTGCTCCTCACTTGATTCTGAAGGACACTTAATGTTGTTGTGTAAAGTACAGCCGTTGGACTGTTACGGGTCAGAGCTCTGCATGGTGTCAGCTGTTATCTATTGCTTAGTAAAGTTTGACACCTCTGTAATTTGCGATGAGCCGAATTATAAAGTGTGGCTTGTCTGGTCTCATTTCTATTGCAGAAATGTATGTTGTATCTCTTTTTAATTATTCGCTCTAGAGGGAAAAAGTCGGTGATCATGTTGATTACTTGCATTCCATATTGCGATGCCGGGCCCGGTTGTTAGATTAAAACTGTGTTAAGCTATGTGGCTTGTTTATTTAATACCACGGATCATATTTAGCTTTGTCCGGCGTCGCCAGAGACTGTCGTAGTGTGACTTCGAGAATCTTAGAGATCCCTTCTGTGTCGTCAAAGTTTTGTTTCTTCCATCCTGAATTTGTTCGAGCTTTTCGTCTCCTGAGCACGATGTTTAGATTTAAACCTCCTTTGTTCGTTCTGGCACCACATGATTTAAATTTAGCTAAATTTAGATGATCACGTCTGTTGACTGTTTTGAGTCATGTATACATTTGAAAATTGTTACTTGAGACATTCTTTCGCGCCAATGAATTTAATTGTTATTATTCTCTCTCAATCTTTCATGCCAATCATTTCAAGGGGGCGGTAGAGCATAAACAATGGTTACAGGCGGATTGCTTTCGTCTCGCGCTTCGCGCTCGTGGTCGCGCTCCGCCCTCGTGTATCGCATCTCGCTCGCTGCCCCGCTAATCCGCCTGTTCTGCAGGCTAGAATCACAGTAAAGAACAGGTATTTGAATTTGGAACGGCTCAGCCGTTCTTCCCGCGTGGCTCGGCCAAGAATTTTGGCTTTGGAACGGCTTTGATTCAGACGTCGAACTTTTCATGTGCCGAACCTAATGCAATAACGTATTTTACAAGCAGTTTACACTTTGCCTCAAAACCGCTGACATTTAGATGTGTTTTGGCTCAAACAAAATTAAGTTCGGCGAATTAAGTTCGACGTCTGAATCAAAAGGCGTACTTTTGATAATTTGGGTCGGTCCAAATTCGAATTAAATTCGGCTCATGAAAAGTTCAGCGTCTGAACTGGACCTTACAACCATAACACTGTTATATACAATACGTTTTCAGACAGAAATACTCTTTAATTCTTGTAAAGCTTGCACATTGTAGAGGCTATAATATATAGATTTAGCCAAGCTTAAAGCGGAGCTCCACAGTGCACTTATGTCTTTTCTCAAGTTTTAAACTTCAGACTGGCTCAATGGGCATTAAAAAAGTCGTTTTGAAACTTTCCTTTCTCCGACCTTGGAAATGCGATTTCCCGCCAAAACAACACGGCTTCCCACCAGTGGGTATTAGGCCATATGCATTTCACCGTTTTCCTTCCTTTCCCAAGTCCCTTTGCCTTTAAATTTATGGTCTCGAATTATCACGTATTAAGAAACTACAGGTAGTGAATCGTTATCTCCTCTTTTATTTTACTTGCTTATTTTGTCTTTACTTTACTCTACAATGCTCTGATTTATTTTTCAAGGTATGTGGCTCAGTTCGCGCACGCGCAGTTCAAGTGGCGTCCGGACGTACGTACGGACAGCCACGTGACAACCACGAATTTTTAGCTCGATTAATAATCAAATGTTCTTAAGTATGGGGCTCCGCTTGGGCGCCTTCGGCTCGCAGGAGCTCCGCTATTATTTGCCTGTATTAGTTACCTATATAAATAATAGCCTCCATTTGGCGCGAAAATATACTTGGATATTTGCCCGCGACATGATCTGTTCCGCGAAGCGAACAGTTTTCCGAGGGCGCAGCTCGATAAAACTGTGAGCTTCGAGGAACAGGTATTGTTCCAGGACAAATATCTGAGCGTATTTTCAAAGTCACTGAATTGGGCCCTATTTTGTTTATTATCCTTTTAAATTTTTTCGCAACATGCGGGGTCTGAAAGTTGGGGAATATCACACAGAGAGGGTATATTCAGTCACGTGACGCATTTCGACCAATCGCGTGCAAACGAAAATACTTGGTGGATTATAATATAATGATATACTTGATGAAATAATTACTTCAGCAACCCCACCTGACCTTCCGCGAATGGTAAGTCTACAATCAAATTCGCAACCCGGAAATAAAATGTCGGCCTGTAAATATCTTCGAGATGGAAAAACAAGCCATCCTCGACATCGTGACCGTGTTAGTTCATCCTTAAAGTGAATATCTTCCAGGATGTTCTTGACGTCACTAAACGGGATTGGTATCTCCTCCAGCTTTTTCTTGACGTCTTCCTTTGCTACCCACACCTGTAAAATCATGGTAATCAATTCACTTCTTCCTAACACATCACCATCCAGTGTTACCCGTCTGGTATATTATCTAGGACTCAGAGGCGCTTTTTCGCGAATAAATATAACAGCGCATACAAAACGAGTATACTATATACATCACTAACCCTTGTACTGTCCTTAGTAAATTGGGCGCCATTAGTGTCATTCATGCACTGCCTGATGTGTTTGTCACATTCTTCTAAAAAATAGTTTGCAGGAGGCCCACTTCGATGGAAACAAAGCAGGGATTTTAAAGGAAAACGTTCCATATGTTTCCAGATGCCGGTTAACTTACCTTGCACCTTAATTGATAACCACCTGGTGATAAATATGTTAAATCATATCTAGCAACATATTCAGTATTTTCTTCAGATGCCTTTTCAAAATTTCCTTTGAAGATATCTTCGACAAAATCCACTCCTTCATTAAATGCAACTCTCCAATATTTTTTTTCCGCTGATGGCTGAAACTTTCCGGTTGCTTCGTTAATGCTCCACTCTCTCTCAGAAGCTTCCTCTGTGAAAGATAAATACATCTTTATTAACTCGGCTATGGCAATCAGGACTGTAGCTTGTAACAGATGAACCTCGAAAAAATTTTGAATTTAAATCTATATTTCAAGTTCACGCAAGAGGCCTGATGCATTAAAAAAACTGACTCAATATACAGGAAGCGTCTTTTTATTCCTGATATTGTCTTGGTAAAAATATTCTTTGCACTAGAGCACAAAGAAGCCAGACAACTGCCATTAGTTGGCACACAGCTTAATATAACCACTGTAAGAACATTTCTCGCTCGTTAGTAATCACATATTCGAGTTAATACTTTAGAACCACAGTATAAATTCGATACTTGTGCATAATTTCATATCCCAAATTATGCAATGTGCAAGCCAGCTTTAAATCTGATTTGGATAGGGAGACATCACTAAACTAGGGAAGTTAAAAAGGGAAAACATGGAAGGGAATGGTCCGTAGCAAAGTTGCTTGAAAATATTCAAGACAGTACTCACACACAAGTCCGGTCAACCTAATGCTCTTATCTCTACTGGCCAATTTGTTATGCGACAAGTTAGCCATGTATAGAGGTATCTTCAAGTAACATCGGTTCACTTTCTGACGTGTTCTACAGTTTGCAAGGAAATGTGGATCGCATTGTTTCACCTGATTATGACACGATAAAACGCAAGTTACCTTCACTAGCTCCTCGGATAATGGCTGCTCCAAAATGACACCACATGTCAGCTTCTAAAGAACCGTTTGCTTCTCTTTCACGTTTGAGCATATGGAGTGATTCCAAAGCCGCACGCGCAAGTTCTACCAGATAACTTGGGTCATTATTGTTAGAGAGGAACGATTCCTGTGCAAAAGTACATTTACAATGTTTGATTATCTTATTTGACAAAAGTTACAGCATTGGCAGGCCTAAAGCCACAAGAACGTTGCAGGCTCAGAAACCTTATATCTCAGCAAATGCAGCGACCCTTTGATAAAATCATACCGTCTGAAGTGAGGTCATTCAGTAATTTTCAGATATTTACACGGCATCCTTGTGAAGCAGCTAGTTCATTGATTTTATTACTACCAGGGATTACTAGTATTTAACTTGTTAGGTAGTGTTTAGTGTTTTCAAGTCTTAATAATTGTGAAGTTTGCTTGCATACCGTGTTAAAATAAAGTTACTATTACTGAGGCCTTCCAAGGGGGCTAGTCTTGTCGCCTTGTCACATCCTTCTGTGTACCTTTGTCGCCTAACCAGCGGAGGAAATTGTCGCTGTTGTTTTTCTGTACAAATTCATATGACGTTGTCGCTAGAAAAATTTGTCTCTGACGTTTCTCTAAAATAAGGCCGCTCGTAATCTTAACGTACTAATTTTGACGAGTATACGTGTGACGATTTAGGGTTATTTCGGCGCTATAACCTCCAATTTTAAATAAAATGTTTAATATTTTTGTAAAACTCTATTTTCGATAATAACCATCAACAAAAGTTCAATATTCCAGAGGTCTACATCTATGTTAATGGGACTTGGGGCTAAATGCTATGACGACTTCAACTGTACCCCGCGACCGACACATTTATGAATAAATCTATTTTAAGCGGGATGATTATAAAGTAAAACACACACGCATGCGCCCCATTGCTAGATAAGGTCAGGTGTAGACTTCTGGTAATTGTGAACTTCTGTCAACAACAATCTTTTCCTAATCCAGCGTGATAGTTAAATGTACAACGAAAACTCCCGAAAAGCGTATAGTAACAAAAACTACAAGTCCAGTCTGAGTGGA